TTAAAAGTTAAAAGTTTTCAAAACAACCAACCCCCTCCTTAAAAAGACTATTGCCTCTAAAGACATTTTAAGCTGATATATAGTAGTATGAGCCGTCGAGGCCGTTTAACACTGAGAACCACTTCATGTAATCAGCTTGCAAAATTTGAATTTTCCTGCCCATATTTTCCCCATAGCAATAAATTATGCCAAGTGTTAAATTTTACAATAAGAGCTCAATTTAAAATARGTGCAGCTGAGAAAAGATCGAGGATTTTCCACATTTGCCTTTTAATACACTCCGTCAATTAATCAAAGTTTCGCCATTTGTTTTTTAGATGCTGAAGTTTTTTCTGAAAAGTTGAAATTGTCAATAAAAGCTCAAACTGAATTCCAACCTAAACTGATATCCAGCCATTCTGTACCAAGCATMAGAACAGATGAAATATTCACCAGCCTTATGATTCAGCGTGGATGGAAACCCATTGAGATGAAAGCAACTGGAAGGATGGAACAGCTAGCGCAATTTAACACGCCAAAGTYTTGTCTTATTGACAGATGTCAAGACATATTCATCAACCCAGACCAAGGCAAGGCCAATCCAAAATCCATTCAAGTGATTGGAAAACCTGGCATAGGAAAATCTCTGTTTTGTCAAAGGCTWTGTAGAGATTGGGCCGATGGTGTTTTGTTTCAAAGTAATGAGTGTAATACCAAAACGTCAGAYGGTTTTGACTTTGTCTTTTTGATAACCTTTCGTCAATTGAATCTTTTTGAGAACAAAAACGTCAATTTCCGCGAYGTTTTGAATCATTGTTCTGTTGTAGATGAACACTCAGTCATAAACGAATCTCTGTTTGAGCACTTGATTGAACATCAGGAAAAGATCTTGTTTATCCTTGATGGCTACGACGAATATTCCCATCKTTCAAGAATATATGAYTGTCAATTTGAACAGAATTACCYATGCAACCAGCGACTTCAGATGCCTGTGGCTGCCTTGATTTCCAAACTTTTAAGAAAGAAGGTATTTAGTGGTTCTGTAGTTATGGTTACATCAAGGCCAACAGAAGCTAATGAGCTGGGAGGGATACATAAGGATGCATTGGTTGAAATAGCTGGGTTTTCTACTGACCAAGTTAGACAGTTCATTGAAAAATACTTCAAGAAAGAAGAGATAAAAAACGCTGCAAGAGACCACATCGTGAACAATGCAAATTTACTGAGTTTAGCACACATTCCTATGCTGTGTTACCTGATGTGCTTTTGCTTGGAATGGCATATTGAATCTGGAAAACATACAAGTCTCCCAACGACCATAACATCACTTTATTCAGAAGTCGTTGAAATTTTCGAGCTCAAGCATCATTGTAAATCTCAGTACAGAGCAAGAGACGTTCCCGAGAGCTACAATGTTCCACATGTAATCAAAGAAACAGTGCAGAAGCTGTCGCAGTTTGCAGCGGCAACATACCTTTCTAACAAAGTCGTYTTCAATGACGCAGACATAAGAGATTATGGTTTGACAGARCAGGAAATAARTGATCTAAAATCATGCGGGCTGATTACCTGTGGACCTAGCTTCAAAACAGGACCGTTTAYGTTCACAAGAGAGTATTGTTTTTCACATTTAACACTGCATGAATATTTTGCAGCTCTTGGTTTTATCAATAGTGGTACAATACCAACGCTTGAAGGAGATGGAAATGAGATGGTRCTCCAATTTTGTGCTGGTCTCTTGTATGGAAAGGAAGACGGCGAGAGGCGAATGAAAGAGATGATAGTGCCATATTGCAACATGAAGAAGGGTCTTTTGGCAGCAAAGCTTCTGCGTGAATACGGCGACAAGGCATTGGGAGTCAYGTTTGTTCAAAAATACCATTCTTCATTKTGTGACAATAATGGAGTTCTTTTCGGTGAGTCGGTAGATCTGTCTGACAATACTGATTGTGAAGCTTTTACGTGGTTCCTTGGTTGTATCAATGAACTTTGTGCTCTTAAGAAGGATCAAACGAGCTCATCATCGCAAGTGGTCTCGATAAAAGAATTGAGCTGTTACTTTGATTCAGTGTCAGACGCAGGTCAATTATCTGAGCYACTAATGCACAATAGCTGTCCTWTTGTCACCTTGGATCTGACTTGTGGTGAAACATTTTTTGTTACGTTGCACCACAGTCAGTCCAACAATATATTTGCAGTCTTACCATCAACACAAATCACCGAACTTCAACTATCTGGTGCTTATATTGGTGATAAAGATGTATTACACCTTAGTGCAGTATTGCCATTAACACAAATCAACACTCTAAACCTGAATTCTCACAATTTTACTGATGAAGGCTTATCAAAACTCAGTGGAGTATTACCATTATCATGCATCAACAATCTACACCTGAATTCTCACAATTTTACTGATGAAGGCTTATCAAAACTCAGTGGAGTATTGCCATTATCATGCATCAACAATCTACACCTGAATTCTCACAATTTTACTGATGAAGGGTTATCAAAACTCAGTGGAGTATTACCATTATCATGCATCACCAATCTATACCTGAGGGGATATGGCTTTACTGACAAAGGGTTGTTATCCCTCAGTCGAGTATTACCTTCAACACTCATCACCACATTACACCTGATGTGTCATGGTTTTACGGATGAAGTGTTATCAACCCTTAAACGGGTAATACCATCAACACGCATCACAACACTTCGCCTTCTGACGCACACTGGTAAGGTTTTATCACTGACTCAGTGACTTAMATCCATAAGGCATAAGTCAAGAAAAATGCAAGCGTACCGACTGATAAGGTCGACTGATAATGCAAGACATCGACAAATAAAAGTTTAGGCTAACCAAAAATAGAAGCACCTTGTTAACCACTTCTTAATCCAAAAAGCTATTTTTCACTCCAGGGTTCCAAAGGAATCCCGAGTTTAGGTTTTGGTCAGTCACTGTCGTCGTCATCGCTTTTCAGTCACAAATTGTCCCA